CATGACAGACCGCAGCCATTACGGTCTATCATGTCAGTGGGGATACATGCATATGCACTTTGCTAACCTACTAAAACTCCTTTTGAAATGTAGTTATTGTACATGCATAACTACCCTTTAGAAATAAAATCAGAAAGCTGCTTTTTTAATGTAACACAATATGAATTACTCAGCAATAAAATATATTTCCAAATTGTCATTTTAAGTATAGAATGTACAGTCAGTGATCCAGAGTGCAATCTTAGATATGCAGCTCCTATCAAATCTTTTAACATTAGCTATTGCAGTTGTGCATGTGTGTAGGAGATCAGAATCTGGCTCTCTGTGTGTGTCTGTTTGAAAAATATAGTTTTGTCTTTTTTGAAGGTAAGGGAAAGTGTCATCTCTTTTTTCATCCAAATAATCTTCAGTAGCAATTAAATAAGCTTATGCTACCTAAGAGATCAGTTAATACAAGATAAGTAGCATGACAGTTTGGAAAAACTGAGTATGTCTTTGATTATTTACTAAGTTTTGATATCTGCTATTTGCCTCAAAATGCTAAAAAGTGAAGTGTAAGATACAACATGAAAGACTCATTTGATCATCATAAGGAAAAGAATCAGTAGTTTTGCTTTTCTTTCCCTTAACAACTTATATTTTATTAAAATAGCAAAGCCAAGTGTTGTGTTTAATAAGATATACTTTTCCAATTTGAATATCAAATGTAAAAATACAATTAAAATATATCTGAAATGTGACATTAGTTGTAGGATATATTTCAGCAATGTGCATTTCTAAAAAGTTTAGCATATGCATTTTTTGAGTGTTTTTGATCATTCCATCAGCTGCACAGACATCTAGGATTTTTCTACACATATTTCTGAATGGCAGTTATCCAGTGATATTCTTCTCATTCATAAGCCCATGAACTTGAGAATAAAAATAGTTGTGGGATGTTAAACTATTTCCAAAAATGCAAGGATGCCATTATGTTTACTGATGTGTCATATGGCTCAGCCTTTGAGTTGATTTGCCTGGGTGAGGGGCATAGCATGGTTCTAACATGAAACTTACAAGCAAACAGCATTCTAGCATTCAAATAATATCGACTATGTAACACGTTGAGACCTTTTCTCTTCTCTGAGATATGGTCAGGTGCAAATTCTTAAAAGGAGAAAAGAAATGTTCATAATAAGGCAAATGGCCCAACATGAACTCACAGTATGTGCTCTGTAACGGGTCAGTCACAGATAGACACCGATTGTGCTGGGGAGAAGCCAGTACAACCGCATCAACTGTTTCCAATGTGATACCATTGTTTAGGTGGGGGAGGGCTAGGAACAGCACAGAGCCAGGGGGCACAAACTCATATGGCCAGAGATCTGCAGGGTCTGCACAGTCAGTGTCCATGGTTCTTCAAACTATGAGTAACTCTGACCACACTCCTTGCTTCTTCCATATGTTCACACGCCTTCCTTTCCCTAAATGATACACAGTTTTTAAATTAAGTACTCCCTTCCTACATTATTCTACATGAGAATGGGAGGATATGGCCTAAAACGAGCTATCTGTATACTGTACTGAATTGGTGACAGTCCAGGTTTTCACTGTGCTGCACACCATGATCACTTTGAGCTCCATGTCAGCAAGGGGACAAGTCAGATCCTGCTATTGCAAATGTACAGGCTGCTACCACTTAAGCAACAGGAGATAATTTTTTAGCTGTTAGCAATATAGGGCCTATGACATATGGTTGAACAGTTCTGATTCCATTCAGTAGAGGGTAACAGTGTATATGTATGTGCTTGCTTTCTATGTTAAAGCTGATCCTGGGCAAACTCAGGACATCTACTGAATCACTTAATTGCACCCTTGTGATTATTGTAGACACACTGATACAATTCCAGGAATCAGTTAATTTGCTGTGGCTATTGTTTTGTATCTGATGTAAAAAAACACCTGCATGTGTATATGGATGTATAGACATCAATTAAAAATGCACACGCATAAAAACAGAGTACCATATTAAACAGTGAAAATCGATAATGTGAAAATGTAGCCATTGACAGCACTTCTAATTTTGCCTGTTACAATGGTGTGCCATTTCTTTGAATGCAGCACACTTTTATGCCCCATTAAAGCATGGCTGACATAGCTTTCAACTACTCACAAATGCTGAGATGTTGAAAAATATAACATTTACAAAAGATACATCTGGTGCATATTTATAAGGCTCGGAATAAGGATGCATTTAAATAGTGCACGTGCTATCACCATATTAGGAGAAAAGTTACTCCAGGCCCATATGTGAAATCAGTAGTGAAATGTGTGCTGACTTAAATTCCTGGTATATGATATTGTGTGTCTCTGTGTTGGACATACTAAAACAAGAGACTATTGAGCAATGTATGCCCTTCTCCAACTGAGCAGCATATTTGTGTCAAATAAATGTCAATGTGTGTAGTGTAAATCTACATGGGCAGAAGATGGTCAGTTGTTTTGAGAGGCAAATATTTAATGTTAGAAATTTATCTCTGACTTCTAATTAAAATACGTCAGCATTTGTTCTGTCTATTCCTCTTCAGAGAGATAAGTGAGAACTAGTTAGAAATCAGGGAACAAAATGCTATGTGCTTTGTGATGCGGCTGATGTATTAAATTAAATAGATGAGCAGGATATAACAGCCTATTTTATATCACATAACATGTTGAGGAGTAAAAAAATACTTTCCACCATTCCCCCAATACAACAGGGCACTTGAAATAAACCAGAAAGCCACATTTTAATTAATGTTATGGGTCATGTTTTAAGCAGATGGAGCCAGGAAATTCAAGGTTAAACTCTGGGCTTTTTTAGTCTTATGAACATGAATTAGGGAGGTAGCACCAGGCTTCATTGCAATTTCTGGCTATCTAATTTAATCTAACCCAATGTGGGTTACTGAACCCAGAACTGACGTCTGGGGGTGCTAACAAAGTTGTTTGATGCAAAAGTCACTCTAGCAGGACTGTGACTTCCTTATGTCACTTCAAAGTAATTTTTTTTTAATTTATATTTATCTTCACTGGAGGAGTTGCCAGAGTGTTTTCATTTTATGTTGGACACCCACACTTAGAAGGTTACAACAGATGCACATGCAGTTTGCACAAATGCTGTTTTTGCACATACAATGTATCTAATTACCAATTTTGCTTGCACAAATGTAGGTTTTGATTTAGCGTGGGCAAATGAGAGAGTGAGGACAATTTGTATATGCAAGTGTTGAGTCAAGGTTGAGCCCTTGGGCTCTCATAGCTCTACATTTCTCACCCAGAAGTGGGAGATATCACCCTATAGTCTGATACTACATCCTTAATTCACTTGACAATAAACCTTAGGGACCTGCCATCAGGGACAATCATCTTTGGCAGGTTCAGGGCTTTTGGTAACATCAGCTGAGGCAGACGTGGCTAACCATGCCATACCCTCACCATTACTAACTGATTGAGCAAGATGAGTTTCTGGCTAAACCCTTCAGCACAATGGACAACAGCAGTACTGAATATACCTTTGTCCCACAGTGTCTGAGAGAAGCTGATATGGGAATATATAATTAGGGCACAATATCCAACCATACTATTTCTCAAGATGCTCTATATTTATATTTATCTACAATTATGGGCTGCCAGTAATTATTATTAATATACTTATTTTTAAGATGATAGAGGTTTTAGGGTCAATACGTATTTTGACACTCGTATGGCTTTTGAAGAAGGATAAACTGTAAAGATGAGCTGGCCTATTGTGATATTTGTTTAACTGGTTAGATTCGTACCATTCCTTTGTAGCCTTTATGATCTATCATACCAGTCTGGCAGCTATGCATGGGCACTATATCCACATGCCCACCAGGAGCCAGATTTTAATCTTAGATAAATGGCATGCACTCAAGCTGTTTTCACAACACCTTTATAAAACTACTTTATTTTAAGAAGAAGGACTGTCTTCTCCCTTTCATCCCCTTGATTTAAGCCTATAAGTGTGCCAGGATAGTAGAGTGCATGGTCCCAGTTGTGTCTAGGTGTGTGCCATGCATGGGGGATTAGATTTTCCTCTGATATCTACAGGCTAAAAATCACTGTGATATTTTTCACTCTCAGTATCTTTGCCATTTTTATTTTAGGGTGTTTTTAATGCACCAAACACAATCCACCCTTATTACAGACTCATCAATTTTGTCAGATTTCATTTCTCTGTGATGCACAGTGCAAGAGAAAGTCTTCTCAATCAATAAACAATTTTATATTTGTACCTCTTAAAAATTATCCAAGGTGATTTTTTTTTCAAAAACTGAAAAATAAAATGATCCTGAGTTGAAATTTTATAAGTAAAGTTTCAGCTAGGAACAGATATTCACTGCCAAGATATATAACAGGAGTTTTTGAGAGATCCTTATCTTCAATGCTATAGTAAAAAAAACATGTTACACCCTACTCGGCATCATTCGTTAAGCAATTAAGTTACTGATAGGCTTTTACATTTATTTACCATGATGGAAAGATATGTTTACTCAACCTGAGTACAAATCAACATGAGGAGGTGGAAGTTCAGAGTAAATTTGACTAATGATGTTGTGTTTTCATCCTTGAAAGAAAGAAAAAAGCCTCTCTGCTTTTGATGCTATTTTATCTCCATTGGAAGGGATCTGAAATGATCTGAACTGTCATGTGAGAGCTCAGTTAAGCTCAGATCCTCTTTGATCGCATCTGAATGTGTCTCGCAGTTGGCTCATACCTTTCTTATATGAATACAGCATCCCACACTTTGGGATGTTTATTAAGCACTTTAACTTTTCATATATTAATGGTCTCACAATTAAATTTTTAAGCAAAATATAGGGGGAAACCTTTGCCACGAGGAGAAATTTTAATGTGGAAATAGCAATTAATTCCATTTGAGCATGACTTTTAAACTACACAACTGACTGTTATAAGTTATACTTCTGAATGAACCCTAATTATCTATTGTTTTCTTATAGGCCGCTAGCATGTTCTCCAGCCTTGTCTATATGGATTTCAAAAGCTCTGTTTCTCCAAGTAACGCTTCAGCATCCTTTGTGATGGGATCCATTGTGTGTGAGCATCATCATCAGTCTCTAAGACAAGTTTTTTTTAAAACTTTCAATATTTGTGAAGAGATTGCTAGATACAAGGTCTCACTCCAGAGCTGCTCTGGGTGCAGAACTACTCCAATGAAGAGATCGGTCAACAGAGCAGCCGTAGAATATGGCCCATATTGAGGGCATGTACTGTGTACTGAGGAGTGGGCATTTAAACCAATCTCCATTGTAACATAATTGATGAAAAGCACCTGCTGTCAGATTCTCAGCTGGTATAAATCAGCAGACCTCCATTGACCTCAGTGGAGCTGCAGGATGCTGATTCGTACCAGCTGAGGATCTGGCCCCTGAACTTTTGTGAGTTCAGGTTCTGCAGACAGATGGTTATGATCTGACAACACTGTATTGCAACTTAAATACTGCCACATCATGCCCAGAGAGTCTTGTGCTTTGGGATCCCATTCCAAAAGAGGGGGAGAAGCTTGGATTCTGGTTATGATTCTTTATAGTAAGAAGATAAACTTCTCTTGTTGCATCTATGCTTAAATCTAGCCTTCCAACCATGGGGTTAAATTCTGTGTTGCTTATTCAGACAAAACTATCTTTGAGGTTTATGGAATTAAGAACCACAGAATTTGTCTAAGAGCTGTTGGATCATACCCCATTTCTGACCTCAAAAACCTTTTACTTTCATTCCTGATTTTTCTTTTTGTAGAGATTGTCTCCTGCACCAAAATGTGTGATGGTTTTGTGATGTGGAAAAACATTTACTGGGACTAGTTTAAAATGACATGATATTCCTTGCCTTTGTGATCTAAACCAAATTTGAACCCAGGTATTCATTCTTCATTTGAACACAGACATTATCTTATTCTCCAGTCTAATCACTTATACTCTTGTATAACTTGTGCTGGAAGCACACTCTGGTATTTTGGCTCTGAAATGATTTCATTGTTAGGCTGAGTGTGACACAGATGGTATTCTTAAATGTAAAATTCTTTTTATGATTCTTGCAATTTCATACTTATTTCATTAGCTCATTATTTATGTTAAAGGGACATCATCAACTTGAAATCTGCTTAGTTAAAAAAAAAAAAAAAGATTGAAAGTAGTTTTAGGTACCTGCCTCACAATCTGCCAGGTTTTGTGGTTTCAGTACCACATTTTTTTTATTTTAAAAATGTTTTTGTATCCCTAGCTGCTGTGTGACAGATTCACAAAAACAACAAGGGGAAAGAGTCTCATTTAAGGGATTATAGGTGAGAAGCAGTGAAACTGACTATGCACAAAGTGCTGTGAAATGCACACAATAAAGAAAATGAAGAAGATAAAAAATAATTTCTTTTTGCCAATCTCTTTTAGTTAGACTAATGTTAGGTGTTACTTGTAATTTCAGTAGGGAAACAATTTTCAGATAGAAATGTGATTTCTATCCAAAGCTGTCTCTTTAGTACACAAGTATAGTTATTAAATAAACATTAATTATGATAGCTGCAATTACTCATTCAGATCAATAATCAGAACCAGGAGTGAACCAAACCATAGCAACTTTATTTTTCCATTAAATATAGTGTGATTTAAAATAAATTCAAAAAGCCCTAACCATTCAGCCCCATCTGCTAGACATGAAAAGTCACTTTAAACCCGATGCAGATCGTGAAAAAATGGGAGAAGAGGTGTTCAAAAGATACAGCATATAAGGACAGCTCCTCAGATGGTGTAAATCCATGCTGCTCTCTTGAAGTCAACAAAGCTATTCTGATTTACCCCAGCTGAGATCCTGGCCTGACATTTTTAAGTGCCAGGTGTTATGGTGAGTTTGTCCATGGGGTCATATATTGATCCTGTTCATTAAGGTAAAGTGGTGAATGTGATATTTTTCATTTTAATCAGGACAAGGAAAGTAAATGCTGTCAGGAAAAAATCTAATTTGAGGATTTTGTTTTCCTGGAAACTGGGGGCTGTTTGCCTGAATTGTATGGGGTTTTTGTTTTGTCCTGTCTGTGTTCCGTGGGCTGAATCCTCCTCAGACTGACATCCCTTGCAACCCCACTAATTTTGATGTCTGACAGGTCTGTTTTAATCTGTTTAATCTGTTGGAACTCCCACAGCAGGATCTGTAGAAGATTTTTCTTTCTGTCCCCTGTCTGAGGTGCAGACTCTATTGTCTGTGTGTTGGGGAGTAGGGTTCCACTGTGTTAGAAAATCTTTTTGCTTCAGGCCCAAGGGAAAAGTGATAAAGAATTAAAAGGGAGGGACTATAGCTATGGTTAGTACTGAATGCTGCTACTATTGCGCCCTATGCACTCAGCAAATATTTAGCTTCATAGCAACAAGAAGCCTTTTTTTTTTTTTTAATTTCCAAAGTTAAAGGGTAGATTGTATCTGACCACTGCATGTTTGCACAAGTGTAGGGGAGGGCATGAAAAGTCTTCACTGCTCTCATTCAGTGGCTGGGAACAACTGTCCCTAAGAGCAGGGACAACTGCTCCCTTCTAGTGCTCCCTAGCTAGGCACTAGCTACCCCAAAAGGGAGGGGAAAAGGAGGCGATAGGGTTAAGTTCCCCATCCCTGCACATACATACAAGCAAAGACATGCTGCACCGCTTTAAAGGTTGTAGTGGAGGTATGCTCTCCCTGTAGAACAAGGGTGAGCTTTGCAAGATGTTTTTCCTACATAAAGCACAATGCCTCCTGTGTTCTCCCTGGGGAAGTAAAGTTGTGCAAAGCCCTTTACGCAGGGCAGTGCCTATCAGGTCCAGCAGCACTCTAGGACTGCATTGGAATGCACTCAGGAGAGAGCTGAGCTCACCCTGTGCTGGGGGTCAGCTGTAACTTTGGTATTTCCTGGTGTTGCAGGGCTTTACTCTGAAGCCTGAACATTCTTCTAACAGTTTTTAAAAAAATGAATTATGTTATATTTCCCCAGCTGAGTAGAGCTGGCTGAAGCTCGAAAGGAGGTTCAGTCTAGATGCACACCCATATGTTCGGATGCATATCTGAACCTTGTCTGAACTGTCCACACTGCTTGTACTGGAAAAACTAGACAATAAGCGTGATTAGAATAGGCTTTCATGCAAGATGTTTAATATCCATTTGGGACAGAAATATTGCAAAACCAGCCTCTGTGGCCCTGCTGCCTTCAGTCTTCATCTTGAGTGAAATTATGAAATACAGAAGTACAGAAAATAAAAATAGCGGGTGAGTGAAGGGAAGTTAATCTCCATTTTTCCAACCCCAATAAAAGTTAGATTAGGGTTTAGTTCAGGCTTTGATTGAAATTTTAGTAGCGGTGGTGATGGAGGAAAGAATGTTTTTGTTTTAGCGGAATTGGTTCATCCATCCTTGACATGCTTATGGTTAAGTCTGTGCCCACTGCTACGATGCAATGTAAAAAAAAGTCTGTACTTCTTCTTTAAGAGCTGTCCCTTCTGAGAAAATTAGGGCTGACTATAATAGGGCCTGTCTCTATTGTATGCAAGGGAATGTGGCATAACACCAGTAGGAAGAGAGAGGATTTTTCCAAAAATGTGCTTGTGTGGTGAGTCTTGCTGCTCATTGTCCTCAAAAGCAGGTGTATCATCTATGTCTGTTGCCTGGATATGTTTCTGTTGTTAATTAAACAAATATATTAGTAAAATACAAATACTGGGTGACACTGCATTTTAGCCAAGAGTTTTATCCTTCCTCTGCACACTGGGGATTTCTTTTCTAGTATTCCTGATTCAGATTAGTTTATTTCTTGGTGGCACCATAATCAGTGGAATTATTTCTATTTTTATTCCCATTACAAAAGTTTCAGTGTCAGTTAATAAGTGGTCAGGAAAACAAAGACCATATTTACGGAACAAAAGCCTCACTTTTTTGTTGAATGGTAAATTAATAAATGGTAATTAATGATAATTGGTAATTGTAATTAATGCTAATGGTAATTCATGGTAAATTAATTTAGGGATCTAGCTAAAAAATTGTAGCTAAAAATCCAGACTCCACTCTGGCCTGAGTGAGCTTGGGAGATGCACAGTGGCAGGTGAGGAGAAATTTCCCTCCCAGGCCACAGTATAACTTTGGTGTTGCTCCATGAATCTACGTCAGCCCAGTGAGTAACATTGTCTGTGAGGGGCATTCACACTGCATCCCCAGTCAGATACAGTTCTCCTGGCCTCACCCTGTTCTCAGACTGCCCATGCTCTGTCCCCTCCCACTCCCTTCATGCTGTTGCACGGACAGTATCTTGCTCACATCCAGTTTGTCTTGAACAGCAGAATGATTCCACAGCACAGAGGCCCTTGGCAGTTGTAGAGGAGAGGCCTGGATTTACCCATTAACATACTAAGGACTAAATTCAGTCCTGAGTTAAGGACCCACGATGCTTCACTGAAACCATTGTGGGTAGCGTGGAATGACTATCAGGGCCGAATTTTCCCTAACAGTCTGAGTTACACATACATACACTTCGATCTTCTCAAAAAGCATTTAAGTAAGAACTGACCTTTCTATGTCAGTTGTGAAAAAACATAATGGCTGGGTTTGGAGAAGTATACAAACTAGGAAGCTGGACATAGACAAATGTACATTTTTTCCTAAGAACACGTTTACAGCTGGAATTCTCCCCAGCATTACAGTTAAAGGGAGTAGATGTGGTTATAGTGTTCAGTGACAATATCTGTAAAGCTCCTTCCTAACATGTAATGGGATGTGAGGCCTTTGATTTTAGTCGTCCCAAAAACATTATTTCCATTGAAATGCCTGCTCCTGAAAAGTTGCAGTCCTTCATGTGTATAGTGCACAAACGACAGAGTTGTGTTGTGGCTCTTTTAAACTGTATTAAAGTGGATGTAAAATAGGCACAATGTCCCTCCACCCTTAGGAGTACCCCGGCATATGGGGCCTCTCAGCCAGCCATAGAACCAGCTTAGCCACCTCCATGCCCTCTGCAGGCAGGACATTTCTGTGCCCCAGATATTCTCTGGTAGTGCCATGGCCCACAGGGAGACCTTAACAGCTGGAGCACTAGTTAAGGCAGCCTTCAGGAAGGCTATGTCTACACTACAGCCTGTGTCGGCATAACTTATGTCATTCAGTGGTGTGAATAAACCACCCCCCTTGAGCAACATAAGTTACACTGACATGAGCACTCGTGTGCACAGCGCTCTGTCCGTAGGAGAGCTTATGCTACTCGCGGAGAAGGGATTTTTTTATGCTGACAGGAGAGCTCTCTGCCATTTGCATGGAGTGTCTTCATCGGACGCGCTGCAGTGGCGCAGTTGTATTGCCGCTGCAGTGCAGTACGCCTAGACAGACCCTACAACTTGCTCAGTAGAACTTAATCAGCAAATCTGAGCATTGAAGGCTGAAGTGACCCCCAACAGCTCCAGGATAGGGGAGGTGCAAGCTGCCCTTTCTTCATTGTATTTGTTTATGGCTTCTTAGAGGTGCACGGATATTGGAGGGGGCAAAACTGGTTAATGGTATCTGACCTGCTTTGTGGTGATAGTGAAAAACTTGGAGACACTCCTACAGTTTTGTCCACCGTGGACTCAAAATTCTGTCATTTGTACTCACATTAAGTAGTACTCTCCAAGTAGTTCCATTTTTTTCAATAGGCCTACTTGCAAAAATAGGCCCTGATCCTGCAAACATTTACATGAGTGCTTAATTTAGATCCATTCATGGGACCGAGACGCATTCTGAAAACTAAAAGGTGCATAAGTGTTTCCAGGATCCAGGCGTTCGAACTTACTCAAGCCTCAGTGGAAGTGAAGTTGGCAGAATACGGTGGAGTGGGGTGAGAAAATTAGGGAACACAAAATCATGATATTTACTCAGTTTATGCATTTTTCTACTTTTTTCATGAAAACCTGCATACAGAACAGGCACATAATTGTTTTGCTAAGTGAGCCTTGAAAGTAAGAGTCTTGATAGCTGTTAAGTATCTCCTTTCTAGTACAGTATGTTGTCCTTATAAGCTAATCAGTAAAACTTGCTCGGTAGAACTTAATCAGCAGAACTGAGCACATTGTCAGTGCTTAACAAATACTACTACTACTAATAATTAATAATTAGTAATAACATGAGCTCCTTTTAACACAACCTATCAGACTTTTGCTTTATTTTGAGGAGGGCTTTACTTGCCTCTAGTTAACTTAAGAATTAATATTTATTACAGCTCTATTTACAACAGCCAAGAGGAATTTGAGTAGGAAGGAAAATATTGATGAAAATTAAATTTTGACAAATATCGGAAATGAAATTCAGAGAAAATTATCATGCTGTTTCACGCATCAAACAACAGTGCATTTAGTATAAGGTTCTGAAAGAACAGTAATTTTCATACAAGTAAGTGTCCATATTATTGCTAATAAAACTGGATCTGGACAATTGTTTGAAATGTAAAACACTATATTTGTATGTGATTGTTATTAGAATTACCTTTGATCTCCTGCTGTTCTCTTCTTTAAAAGTTTTCCTTAGAATGTTGTGACTTATATATGTTATAAGAGAGGGATTGGATGGCTCAGAGAATTGGTAATGGATCCAGAGCTGTTCACTTCTGCATCACCCCTCTAATTTAACACAGGCTGGCAGTGACTGAAAGTTAATCTAATGGCTGTTTGGTAGTTTATGTGAAATCGATTTGTGGTTTACATGCAGTTCCAACAGGACAAGAATTCACATTCTAAACAAATCTCTGGGCCAGATCCTTAGCTGCTTTTAATAATTGCAGCTCCAGTGACTTCAATGGAGCAATGGTAATTTACACCAATAAATGACCGTCAATCACAGCTGGCACTAGTTAACGTGTGTTGTCAGGCTCAATATAGATGACAGTGACTCAGTGAGGAGGGAGATTATGGGCAGATTCTCAGCTGGTGTAAACCAGTGTCATACCATTGAAGTCAAGGTAACTATACTGATTTACCAGCTGAAGATCTAGCACTGAATGCCTATAGGTGGCCATGTCAGGTCAAGTTTGAGCCACAGTTAGAGCAGTTAGAGTTGCTTGCACCACTGATGTCGTGCTGTACCGGGTGTTTGAATATAAAGAGAACCTTAATATTCAGGGCTGTCAACGAGTGTTAACTTACAAGCAACAAAATGTACTGATTTATTTTAAAATCTTGTGGAAAAAATTCTAGGGACTAATTCTACTCCCACTGAAGTCTGATGTGTATGAGATATTGTGGTGCTATTGGTAAAATATAAGTGAAAGTCCTAAGTAAGTGTTATGAGATCTGTCCTTTTCTTGATATGTATGCATTGTCCTGACAGATACTCAAATGTGACAGGTTTCAGAGTAACAGCCGTGTTAGTCTGTATTCGCAAAAAGAAAAGGAGTACTTGTGGCACCTTAGAGACTAACCAATTTATTAGCTCATGCTCAAATAAATTGGTTAGTCTCTAAGGTGCCACAAGTACTCCTTTTCTTTTTACTCAAATGTGAGTTGCATATGTGTGATAAGGAGAGAAGAGGTCCCTATGAACACAAATAAACTCTGCTCATGAAAAGCAGCAGTATTTTGCAGGGGTAGCCACAAATGCTGCAATACCACTCCTGGGGTGAACACATATTTAATGTAAAACAATATTGTTACCTAGAATTTAAGCTTTCCAAGGAAGGGGCTTTTGGTCCAGATTTTAAAAGATATTTAGGTGCCTAAAGATGCAGATAGGCATCTAATGGGATTTTCAAAGCAGGATTGCTGCTTCACAGTTGGGGAATATGATCCCTTATCCCTTATACTTATATTTGTCTTTAAAAGCACCTAGCACACAATTGATGCTATATATCTATATATCTCTATATATCAAATAACAACAGGGGTTATAAGAAGGACTATACAAGTAATCTAATAATGTGTGTACTACTGAGGACTCTTGACACATACATACAAATTCTTATGAATGAATATTGTATTGTGAAACCCTAACTACATGAATTGCAGATTGAGTCTTCTGTAAGCTATGCTTGGTGGCGTCATTCAATGGAAATAGGGAAAATCCAGAGAACAGGAAGGTCCTCAAACACAACACAAGTGGATCATTTCCAATCATCAGCAGGTGGGAGCAGGAAGGATTGAAAACTTGCACAGGAGTGCATGCCCCCTGAGAGTGTCAGAGTCTGTTCTGTTGTGGACTATCCCTCCTGCAGGATTTTGAGGGTGGGTGTAGTTTTGGGGAGGAGCAGGAGTAGGGAGTAGTTGTGATAGCACAGAGTAGGCGTCAGCAGTGGATCTACCATGGTGTAGATTCACTGATCGTTGATCCTGGAAGAATAAGGATAAAGCAGTAGAGTTGGTGCATCACAGCTCGGGAGCAAGAATCCTTTTCCCCACCCTCAGTCTCATCATCAAGCTAGGTTACTTAGGTTTGGGACAGGAGAAAGGATTTGGTTCACAACGAGTAACTGTATAAAGTGCTTCTCATGTAAAATATTAGCTTAACTGCCTAGTAAACATATAATGATTTTAAGGAAAATCAGTAAAAACATGTCTGCAAAGGACACACCAACCTGAGGACTACAAGGGAGTTTTAATTAAAATAGCAGGTTAAAAAAAAGTGTGATGCAATATTATTATTTCCTAACATATCAACAAAGTACAAACGCCTATTTTTAGTGCAATTTTCTAAATGAAAAAGTAAACATTAATATCTTCAGAGATCTTACTGATCCAGTATGATAATTTAGAAAAATATCTCTATTAGGGATAGTTATATATGCTTTTTGTTGGAAATGCAATCACAAAATGTGCATATAACTGCAATCTGTAGATAGATTAAGTAAATTAAATCACTCAATGTCTTTTTTCAATAGCTCTAAAGTTAAAAGTAATTTGCAAAGAAAATACTCAGTTTCAATTGGTTTGTAATATCTGCTAATGATCTTTGGAAAAATTTCTGATAACACACTGGAATTCCCTCAGGGACAGGATTTTGAATAAGTGGATTTTTTAAAAGTCTGAGATGTCATTAGCTAGTGATTTCTTTGAAGTAAAAAGCTGTTAAAGAATAAATTGCATAGGTATACAAGTGAACAGGACAATCATTTTTATGAATAATATGCATTTTTCCACTGTGCTTTCTGCCCAGAAAAGAAATCATTCAAAATATAAGCTGCTAACTGATATAAATATATAGGAATCACAACAGTGTAAGCATTTTGTGCTTATTTTACACATTTATTAAATCTTTACATATATTTAGAGACTACTGGTGTAAAAACTCTAGTGTAGGGAACAGTTTTGATCCTTTTCACTGTTTTTTTCTGGTAAACAATTTCCTAAAACTAGAGGGCCTATTAGTGGTTACTGCATAACTCCTCTGAGCTGTCACAGTTCTGCAGCAGCCCACCTCCACCATTTCCCTAGCGACAGGGTATAAGACTCCTCCACAGTGCCATATATGGCCTATCGTGTAGTTGGTACTGAGGGGAGTGTGGTCATGGGAAAATGGAACCTCCTCTGCTGTTCCTGTATAGGGAGATCGTAAAGGGACACAAGTGGTCTCCCTCATTCAGCACCAGAGTCTGCTGACATCTCCTAAATGGATTAGATGGGAGTACTGGCCAGAAGCCGCCCCCCCGCCCTCCTCCCCATGCAGATAGTTGGGGAAAGAGGAACCACACAGGCACTATTGACCCTCCAGCCCCCTCCCACTCACAAACACCTGTTTCATCCAGGTGCTCACTGAGTTCTCCTCCAGTCCTTGGCCCTCTTTTTTCCTGCCCTGCAGTTCTGTGGGGGCTATTACAGCACCCAGATCGCTGCAGCCTCTGTGACTCCTGTGCAGGGACAGAAAGGAGACAGGATCTGCACAACTGTGGTGAATGGGATGCAGAGACATACTGTGCATAAGCTCTCTAGTCTTTTCTGGGCCTCTGCAGTTCCTGTATACAATGGCTCCAGACCTGCACTAGCCTGTCCATCGTTGGGCAGATCAGATGGCTGTTGACTTTCCATACACAGGACTTCTGTGCCACTGAACATTTGTTTGAGGAATATTGGAACCTATTCATGGCTATACCTGAACAGACCCATGGTCCTTCAAGTATGGTGTTGTGACTCTGACAAAGATTACAACACCATAGCTGATGTTTCAGAAGCAGCTTATCCCTCTACATAATGTACCTAATTGTGCAATGCTTTATAGAATCATAGAATATCAGGGTTGGAAGGGACCTCAGGAGGTCATCTAGTCCAACCCCCTGCTCAAAGCAGGACCAATCCCCAATTTTTGCCCCAGATCCCTAAATGGCCCCCTCAAGGATTGAACTCACAACCCTGGGTTTAGCAGGCCAATGCTCAAACCACTGAGCTATCCGTGGTATCATGAGGGCAACGTCTTCCTGACCCCAATTTGTGACTGAATTATGCCATGAACCATTGGGATACCTAGCCATAGTAATGTAATCCTAGCTAGTCAAACTTTCATAGATTTACAGGCCAGATGGGATCATTATGCTCATTTAGTCTATTATCCTGCATAACACATGCCATTGAATCTCACCCAACTTCTGAAATTGTATTTCTTTAAATGTCTAGTCATTTAAAAATCTTATTAAGCTATTTACTTCAGTAGTATTTCGCAGCAGTGAGTTCCACAAATTAACCATGCATCGTTTAAAAAAGTAATACCTCTTATCCATTTTAAAGATTTCATCTTGCAATATGGAAAAAGTTGAAGGCCTTTAACTGAGCTTGATGATGATGATTGATGAATTATTTATATTACTGTTAGTGCCTAGAGACCCGAGCCGACATCAGGGCCCCATTGTGCTAGGCACTGCGCAAATACATAGTGAGAGACCATCTCAGCCCTGAAGGGCTTACAGTTGAAATGGAATTTTCAAAAGAGCCAAAGTGACTAAGGAGCACAAGACTTACTGAAAGGCAATGGGACTTGTGCACCTAAGTCACTCAAATGTTTGAAAATTCCATCCAAAATGTGAAAACAACAGTCCAGAAAGAAGTTACTTGCCCAGGGTCACCTATCAGGTTTGTGACAGAGTTGATTCACAGCAGGGGCTCTGGCAGGTGAAAGTCCTCCCAGAGAGGAGGCTGCAATGATGCAGAGTATCTGCTTTATAGCAGGCCCATAGCTGTGCAGAGCAGCCACAAGAATGGTTAGGGTTCAGTGCATCTTGTAAACTGTCTCTGGCAACAGAGGTCTTATGAAGCACTGGTCACAAGCAGTTCTCCAGATGGAACTGTCATGGTGCAAATTTTATTTGCACCCCCATGGGGTAGATCTCCCCTGCAGCATAGTCCTTGTGTTTTTAATCTCTTCTCATGAAATTCCCCTCCCCTTTGCCTTTCATCATTTTTATTGCCATTTTCTGGACTTTTTTATTTCTGCTATCTCTTTTCAGGGATGAGGTGACCAATCTTCAGTATTCAAAGTGAGGATGTACCACTGATTTATATAATGGCATTTTAATATTTTCCATATTATTCTCTTAAAATTGTTCTTGCTACAACCCCCATACGATTCTCTTTTTAATTCTTTGAACTACACTGCCTTTTAACATCTGTAGTTTACTCAATCAGATTTTGACAAAGGAATAAAAGGCTTCATCTTTCACATAGGATTTTATTTATTGTATGAACTGTAGAGAAGAAATTGGTTATTACTTACTATTTAAAATTCATGGCAATATAGTAACAATTGGGCAAAGATTTCATTATCAGTCCTTATTTTAGTGACCTACATTTCCTGTAAATGTAAGCGAGGATGAAAGTTGGTATACAACGTCTCAGCTCAAGAGTGTGTTTTGTGCATATATATTTTGCCACATACATACATGATTTTGTTCACTAGACCATGTGCATGTAAATTAGACCAAATTAAGTCCCCTGTATGTGCTTACTATACTTACTGTTTTTAAAAAAGGTCTGTACTACATACCTATTTATTCAGTTAACCAGAAATAGAATCGAATCCTGATCAATGGATAAACTCATGGCAGCAACATTCTGTTTTTCCACCAGCTGCATTCTTGCTTTAAGAGGTATTCAAATAAGAGGGCGCTAACATCTTATGAAATATCTTTTGGTTTAATATCTAGAAAACGTTCATTTAACTCTTCTGTAACTGAATCAATTTTTCCCCTGAAATGTATTTTTAGGTGCTTGGAAGTTTCTTTTTTTTCTGGTCTCTAGCTCCCTTACATGTATTTCTGAAAATACGTGCTTATTTATCTGAGAGGTTCCAAAGCATCTTTCCCCGCAAGCATACACATGGGTTAAAATCTCTTTACCGTATTGAGGAAGTAGTTCTGGTTTGTTGGGTAAGTAATACACTCATGAAAATCCTTTGGGAATGATTGGGTTTTTCCCTTTTAAAACAGTTCAAACAGGAAACAAAGACATTGACACTGACAAAGACAGGGAGGGCTCATTCCAACTCCCACTGGAAACATCCATCGACTATAGTGGACGTTGGATTGGGCCCAGAGAAAATAAATACATTTGAGTTAACAATGAGTTTATGGCACAAGCCAGGAAAATTACAGACTCACATAAATTAGCAATGTACAAACCTTTAGGACATCCAGTCCAGCTCCTTGCCAATGCAAGATTGTGTCCTGTAGCATATTTTCTAGTGTTTTGTACATCTAGATTAAATGTCCCAAGTGATGACGCTTCCCTAGGGAAACGATTTCACTGCCTAATGGATCTTGCTGTCAATTTTTTCCCCTTTCTTAATGTCATCCCATTACTCCTAGTTATGTTCCCTTGAACCTCCTTAAATAATTCCTTTCCTTCCTTGGAGTTATTTCCTTCAAGTATCTTTAGACTATTATAATGTTCCTCTTAGTTGTCAGTTAGCCAAGCTGTGTATACATATTTAGCTCATTTAATCTTTCCTGATAAATCAATCCCTTCTGTCCCCTGGTTATTTTTCTTGCTCTTCTCTCAACACTGGTCTAGATTGTCAGTTTCTTTTTGGTGACGAGGTGTCACGAGGTGCTGTTACTGCTCTGAATTAAGGATTGATTTTGCATGGTGCTGAGCACCAACTGTCTTAGTTTATACACTCTGACACTTTGGTGGTGACTGTCCTAAAATTCCTATACAGGCAGACAGAGTGACAGAGAACCTTTTGCAAGATCATTCCCTTATCTTCACTTTTTTTTATTCTGTTGGTCACTATTACCTATAGTCAGGAGTGCAAATAGGGAGGTACCCTCTAGTACGCAGTCTCGGCAAGAGATTTTTACTGGGTATGGGGTACCAGAAAGACTTGGGGCTAGCTCCTCCCTCCAGAAGGTGTGGGGGTGGTGCTGCGCTCTTCTCCTTAAGGGAGCAGAACGTGGTTAGGGAGGGCATTCATTCTTTAAATGGCTTTAACAGCACAATACATATGCTAACAAATTTAAACAAAGGCTTTGTTTAAGTTTGTTAGCATATGTATTGTGCTGCTTTACGTTGGTCAGGAGTCCTCAAGAGGGGAGGGTGCAGGGGACGGAAGATGTTTTTGATTCTGTTGCTGCCCATTGGTCTGAATTATCCATGACACCCATACTGCATCACATCAAGTCCAAACCATTAGAGGAATGCCTCTGCTTGCACTGACCAGAGGATGTTTGGATTCTGATGTCAGCCCAGTTCTGCAGCCTGATAGGAATCAGGTGTTGTCCCCAGTGTACATAGAATTCTTCTTTGCAGCCAAACTAGTTTAACATGCATTTTGTTAACTGGAACTGGAGCAGCAAAACAAAGAAAACAAATGCCTCATTTTCCAGCTTTCTGGGTGAGAGAACTATAAGTGAAGATTATAATGTTGGACACTGATGGCCTTAAACCAGCTACCTCAGGAATCTGCCAAGAACTTTCCTGAAAATATGTTTCTCATCTTAGCAACAGATCTAAGACTTATCACACATCTGCTCACCTTTATTCTAATGAAGCTCCTTCTGATCTGACAGCTCAGGCATTGTCAGTTTCATCCAGAACAATTTACAAACTTGGAACCTAATCCTGTAACCCTTAATCATTTGATCAATCCCATTGAAGACAATGGGACTATTTGCATGACTATGGACCACTTTTGTGGACTAGTAAGAGTTTTAGGAGTCTGTTCCTATAAAGGAAGTTGAATCCCCCATTGAAATGTAGTGTTTGGTACAATACCATAAAGCAGTTTAGGATACAGTTCTATTTAAAATTTGTCTTTTAATAAGTCATACATATGCTGAAATGGCTCCTCACCCAACTCCCATATAAACAGACTGAAATACTACGTATTTTGGGGGACAGTGAGTCGTTAAGCATGTTGATGTTTGTATATACAAAGGGGAGTGTCGGAGAGGAAAGGGAGAGCGTGGGGGCCCCGAACTGGGGGTGGGACAGGGAGGAATCACATGGAGGGTCACCTGGAGAGGTCACATACCCTCCTTTGTCTCCCTCCCATGAGTGCAGTACCGGCAAGAAATTATTTCTACTTGCACCATTGCCTACAGTAGTTGAAACAGTCAGTCCAACTGGTTTTAAAAATAAACGCTCACCATTATGATTTTCTTTTTGACACAAAAGCGTGAGATAAAAATGACAATGTCCAGCTTTCGGTGTTTTATTTTAAAATCTACAACTATTGAACATATTGGCTTGTCTAGTAAATAGGTGTAAGTGCTACAAACAACACTTCTTCAGTGCTAAACAGATCTTGGTTGTAATTGCATGTCTTTTCCAGAGTTTTCTGTTGGATTGGGGGAATATCATTTTCATCCACACTCTTTAAATTTTCATTAAGAAAAGCTTTGGCTACCTGCAGCCTCATCTGGTCATGTTTAATGATATCTGCTAACTCCTTCTTCTTTGTACCAGCAGGGGCTTCTTTAAATCGGTCAGCTGTGTGGAACATTGCTTTCATGAGTTAATATCTTTTGGATCAGACTTTTAAAATAATGGCTCCCAATAAGTTCATTTGTATTTATATAAGCGTATTTACTTCCTTTAAGCAATTCAAACTGCTGTCAGCATAGAAAAAAATTACCAGTAAAAGTGATGATGGTACAACTTGTTTCACTTTACCCTGTTTCACCTAATACAATTCAGAGGAGACAGTATTGATGAGCTATTTCTGTTGGTTCATTATGCTGAAGTCATCTTTCTAAGAGGGTGGGATAAATGTTCTTTGCTGATTTGATTATGCTGCCTATTGCCTTATATATTTTTTGCATAAAGTCTTGTTTCATATGGGCACTCCATGGCCCAAATCATTAAAATATTTATATGTGATACACAGAGTCCTGTGTTTTGTTTTTTATTTATTCCTATGTAGGGTATGGCTGACTTATTATATAATAAAAACAAATTTACAGTAAAAACCCTTTCTGGAGTTACCTGCAAACTATGACAATGTGCATGTTTATGTGGAAAATATAGACATACACACGCAGATTCAGAAGAACAAATTAGGACGTGTAATAAGTGGGTGCAATTGCCAGCTGCATAAATGGAAGCTCTATAGCTGAAGCCAGATAAAAATTTGCTCCATAGAAGACAGGTGAGAACCTTTGGCCAGTGAACACTGACAGGCAGCCATACGGCATGTCTGGATAGTGGAGGCCACTTTTTATCACAGCTGGTTAACAACAGAGGTGTGCAAACCCTAGTTCAGTTCAAAACGGACTTATTTGGCAGCGTTAAGTTAGGTTGGGTCTGACATTCACAAAAGCTTTGCTTTGAAAGAACCCATTTCTTCATGTTTGAATCTCATTGCAAACATCCAGCTACAATTAATTAATCTCTGTATTGCCTCTGGGTTTCCTCAGGTTTATGAACATTTACATGGGCTCACTTATGAACTATACTAAGCCAGCGCCTGCAAGAAAGAAACAAAGATGAGGCCCCTCTGATGCATTGTTTGTGTGGGACTGCCATAAAAGGAAACAAACCCTCTCCTCTCTCAGTTTCTCCACTCTCTGCCTGGCTATACAAATGGAGATTCTTTCAGTCTGATTAATAAAATGGGATGAAATGATATTTTTGTTTTTAAATGGATAGAAGAGTTCAGCTAAACACAGACCGTATGAGAAATGACTGCTCTGCACCTTTAAGCCATGGGGGGAGGGGGATATTTGGCACGCTGGCTGAATAAAGGGAACTGTACTTTATGGCTTAGTGGGAGCGGGTGAGATGAAAACTGTTGCAAAAGGGCTCAGTGTGGTCACTGACTCATCCCCTTGAAATGAGAGGTTTAAAAGGGACAGCCCTGTGCCTTAGCCCTCCCTTTTGCATGGAGCAGCTTGAGGCAGCACCCACCCTTCCTCTCCCTTTAGGTGGTAAAATACCAGGTTTGGTCCAGACCTGCTGTGGGCATTACGCTAGCCGCCCCTTTGTTAAGGGGGGCTGGGAAGTGAATTTCCCCTTGCCACCATATTGACCCAGGTGGAGTTGGGGTTTTTACACTTTCCCCACAGTTAGGGTTGTGAATCCTCCTGTTTTTGCCAGGAGTCTCCTGGAATCTGGCGCTATCTCCTGGCGGCTACAGAAGCCAAACCGGGAGATTTTAGGATGCGAAAAGTCTGGTGGTGCAGTTGGGCTAAGGCAGGCTCCCTGCCTGCCCTGGCCCTGTGCTGCTCCCGGAAGTGACTCACACTACCCAGCATCCCCTGGGCGGGAGGCAGGGGGCTACGCGTGCTGCCCCGTCCCGAGTGTTGACTCCGCAGCTCCCATTGGCTGGGAACTGCGGCCAATGGGAGATGTGGGGGTGGTGCCTGTGGGCATGGGCAGCGTGAAGAGTCCCCTGGACCCCCCACAGTGGCTGCAAGGACATGGCAGCCACTTCCGGGAGCAACACGGGGCCAGGGCAGGCAGGGATCTGGCCTTAGTCCTGCTGCATTGCCAATTGGGAGCTGCCTGAGATAAGTGACGCCCAGCCGGAGACCGCACCCCTCACCCCCTCCCGCAGCCCAACCCCTGGCCCCAGTCTTGAGCCCGCTCCCAGAGCCAGCACCCCAACCCCTAGCCCTGAGCCCCCTCCCAGAGCTAGCACCCCAAGCCCCCTCCTGCACCCCAACTGCCTAGCCCAGCCCGAGCCCCCTCCAGCACCCAAACTCCCTCCCAGAGCCTGCACCCCACATCCCCTCCTACACCCCTGCCCCAAGTTCAGCCTAGAGTCCCCTCCCACACTCCAAACCCCTTGGCCCCAGCCCAGTGAAAGCAAGTGAGGGTGGGGGAGAATGAATGATGGAGGAAGGGAGGATGGAGTGAGTGGGGCGGTACCTTGGGGAAGGGGCGTGGAAGGGTGTTTGGATTTGTGTGATTAGACAGTTGGCAACCCTACCCACAGCGGGTTTCAGGAAGGGCTCTGTGCATGCCTGGCATGAAGGGTAGTGGGCCATATGTCGCAACTCATTATGCAAGTGTAGGGTGGACGTCCAGTGAAGATACTCCATAGGAAAGTATACAGTGACCGGATAATTGGCTTGGAAAAGGTCTTAAAAAGAGGTGTTTGGTAAAGGAGTGAATGGGGATGGGTGGCGGTTGGGGACTCCTATGGTTGGTACGGCAGGGATCCAACCCCCATTATTATAGCCCACCTTAACTCTCCTACGAAGGGGGGTGGATGGTGAGGTCCCAGCAATGGATTTGCTGGAGGGACCTGGATGAAAAAAGAGGGGGAGCTGGTAAAAGCCCCCAGGGTAATTATGGAATAAACATAGGGTTACCTGCCCAGTACACTTTTACCTACTGGGTAGTCTCAGACATCTAATAATAAAGTTATGGCCTGATTAAACCCATGTCAAATGTCTTCTGTCCTCCTTTCGGTATAGTCAGACAATGAAGGCTTTGTTCTGCCAATCAGGGCCACAGGAAAAGTAACGTGGTTTTGCCTCTTATGAGGCTTCCCAAAGAACACACATTGAACTTGAAAGAAACCAGCAAAGCCTCAGATTCTTGATGGAAATCCAGATAGAGCAAATGTATTTGCATCTGAATTTAGTGAAAAATTACTGAACACAAAAAACCTGGAGCAAAACATTGTTGGTTCATGCAGGGCTAAATTAAAGTAGTCTAAAAGGTGCAAGTGAAATTTATCACACAGCTCTAGTTAATAACAATACTTTACACTTGTATAGCACTTTTTATTCAGGCATCCCCAAATACTTTACAAACATGAGTTAATTAATCCAAACAATATGCTTATGAAGTAGGTAAGTATCATGGTTCAATTTACAATGGGCTACATTCGGGAGATTATTGCCATCTTTTTTATTATTGATTATATATAGGACAGTGGTACTGTGTGGGCACACACTATGTGAAACTGGAGCAAATAGTACTAATTTTTCCTTAAAGTGATACCTTGAGCGGGGAAAAGAAACAACATTTTAAAAAAGATGAACACTGGTAATGTCACCAGTGTTAAAAATACATGGCAGCACTGAGTGCAGCTAGAAACTGGATTTACTTTACCCTTTCACCTGAGCAGCCCAAAGGAATTAGGGCTAGATTTGAAAAGCTGTTTAGATGCCTAAAGATGTAGATAGCTGCTTAGTGGGATTATAAAAGTGCCTAGATGCCCAACTCCTATTGAAATTAATGGGAGTTAGACACCTAGGCATCCCACTGGGCACCAGTCTGCATTTTTAAACACCAAAACATCTCTAAAAATTTAGCCCTTAATCCTGCTTCAGTTGCAAGTGCAGTGGAACCAGTCTGCACCCACTTCGACGCCCCAGAGATGGGGTAGAGTAGAGGAGCTGAAGGATCACGGGCTCACCTCTGCAAGTGGTATTGCTCCCCAGTGGCAGTTCTGTTTTCTCTATTGGCACCACCTGATGCTCTCTCGGGCACACCAGCTCCAGCACTGCATCTACCTACCATCATCACTTGAGCACTATATGCCCCTTGCCATTGCTATTTCCTCCTCGCCGGGGCTCACCACCAGTTATTGGAGAGTGGCCAAGAGCAACTCCCTGAGGTGAACCTCTGTTGTGCTTTCATCTTCCTCTTCTTGGCAATGAGTCTCCATTGACTGTGCCATGGCCCTCTCTCACTCCTCAGTGCCTCAGCCAATGCCTTCATCCCTTCCAGCAGCTGGTCCCACTCTTCTCCACAGCTAGCTGCTGCTCCCTGTGGTGGTTATGATTTATATTCAATAGTGTCCAGGGAGCCAAATCAGTAGCAGGGCCCCATTGTTTAGGTGCAAGCACATACTAATAAACAGTCCCTGCTGTAAGGATAAGGCCTTTTCTTGTAGCCATATTGTAGAGTCTAAGGCCTTTGTCTGAAGCCATATTAGGAGAGCAGTAGCCATTAGCCAAGAAGCAGAAAGTTACATCCTCACATTCCATCTAAATTACATTAAAACAATGCAATATCCAGCTGTTAAGGCGATCCTCCTAATAGCACCCACCATCACCCTATAAAGAAACAGATTTTAAGATGGTTAAAGAAAATTTAGTTTGATAGCATCCTGTCTGGCAAGAAATCACTTATCAATGGTTGTGGTTGTGAAAGCCTCATTTCTGTATTGTTTTATCTTCATGGTCCCCACTTCTCTGCTGCTTATCTGTCTGGTCTCTGTCTGGTTCTTTGGTTGTTTCTGTCTGTAATTTTGCTAGGTGTAAATCAATTAAGGTGATGGGGTATGATCGGTTAAAGAATTGTTTTAGTAAAATGATTGGTTAAGGTATAACTAAGCAAGACTCAAGTTTCACTGTATAAACTGCGGTCCAAGAAGGAGACCAGCAGAAGGAACAGAAGAATAATAAGAAGGAAAGACCTGGAAGAAGAAGAAGAACTCACCTCTAAGACACAGCCTAAGATCAAAGTTGTTAAGACTCCTCTGCACGACCATGATGTGCAGCAACCAGAATCCAGACTAGAGGACCTTGCCTGGCCAACAGGGAAAGTCCGCCTGCCTGATCAGGATTGGTGAGCATAGCATTGTATGCTTAGCATGTGTATTCTTCTTGGTAACTGTTAATAGAGGTTAAGGATATTACTGTGTAAGGCTTTTTCACTGGTAAAAGGTCCTGCAAACCAGCTGAAGGTTATGCCCTGAGCCCTAGGAATGGGCTAAGGGTGGGTGCCTCAGTTAAGAGGGTTACCGTAAGCCCTAGGAGCTGGGTAAAGGTAGGTGCCCTAAAGTGTGGGAGTAACAGAGAATTTTGTATGGTTAATACATGCCTTCAATAGCAGTTGTGCCACAGGAGAAGCCACCTGTCTGTATCATCCTGCACACTCTTACCACCTTGCTGTTGGTGACAGGCCTCCTTGTACTTACCTGATGTAT